TCGTGCAGCCCGTAGTCAGTCGCTATACGGACTGCGCTATCCCGGCTCCTCACGTCCAGCCCGTAGCCAGTCGCTATACTGACTGAGCTATCCCGACTCCCGAACATCACGGCGGACCATGGTAAATTCTTTTTACCTGCAGATGACTGTTCTAATTTCTTCCAACCCATGTAAATTTCAGAACTGTTCAGGTACCTTTGTAAATCGAGGGAATCCGACATATTGGAAGCCATGCGTCTACTTCACACAGGCACAGCGCCGGTTGCTACATTTCGAAACAGTTGTAAGCAAAGCGGATGCTTACTGCAGCGAAACAACTCATTTAAAGGGGAAAAGAAAGTACGACACTTGTTCGTGGGAACAGAACGTGCTGTGTTATAAATATCCGTCTACAAAGGTGAAATGGTCTACATCCTTGAAGGGGATATCGTCCTATTGCAATGCCCATTACAAAACGCCATAGCACACAAAAATACATACATTCGTGCCCGGACAGGACTCGAGCTCATGGTAAAAAATTTCGAACCGTCAAAAATCTACAAGCCTTATAATTGTAACGTCATGTACAATTTTGAACTACTCAAACATCTCTTACTTATTCACTGATACGTTACGACATGATAAACCTAATGTGAACAATACTGTAAGTATGGCGGCACGAAAGCAACTTCTGTCTTCCTAATATTGTAAGAATGACTCCATATGAAAAAAGGTAAAGCTATCCCTGTAACACGGCCTGGAGGTTCATATGGTTGTGAGAAGTTGAGGCTCCCACATTTTCTCTACACAATCGGTTCACAGATGGCGGTAAGGTTGTCAGTCTTACGCGCCGGCCGCCCTTTACCCCCAAGAATATTCCTGGTACTCATTTCTGTTAGAGGCTGATTCGACCCCAGAGCCATAGTGCGGCTGGAAGGATTAGGTCAACTGAAAGAAATCCCATTACCTTTCGGCTTGTAGCATAGTGCCTCAACCAACTACGCTACAGCGTGCCCCTCGTCCTCAGGCTTAGTGCAGGCAATAACTTCATAACCAACTTCCTTCAGGCCAATTTTTAATACCATTCTTACATGTAATTCCGGGTCTCCCAAACAGTCTTACCTTCGGGTTTCCGACTAAAATTTCGCCATGTATTTCTCCTACTTCCAATAACATTCTGCTTAATGCTATCACACTACCAACAGGAAGCTCCTCATTATGTAACGTTCTCCAGTTCCCTCTTACTTTCTCCCACTTAGGTTCGATAAAACTTCTATCTGACGGGTTGAATATTTGAATCTCGAGCAGGACACTGTTCTAAACAAATGTTTCGTGCCTTTCTTTAATCGCTCCAAATGCCTCAAATCAGATCATGACCGCTTCCTTTCCAATCCTTTACAATTCACCATTCTATTCCATAACCATCCAATCGTTCGAAGCTATACTCCGAGATACTGACAGTAGCGACAATACGTTATGTTAACGTTCCAAACAACGTTCCTTAGCAGTCTGTCGCCACACGTTCTCAAAGTACGTACGTTCTTCCATTAATACGCACAGTTACACAGTTGGCCTACTTAGGCTTCAAAAATATTTATTAAAGTTCGAAATATACCAAACAGTAAACTTACATAATTCACAGGAAAGGCTTAATACAATGTAAAGAACAAATATAACTGCTTACAAATACAAGCATGACTAACATGAATGTTTATTCCTAGAAAATATACAGTAGCGTTCATATTCTTATAGGCATGTTACGGACAGAACACTAAGCAACAGCTCAGTAAACTGTTTACTGGTCTTTTTAGCAGCTTGAAGCATAAGGATCGTGGAGTGAGGAATTTGGAGATGGCTATGACTGGTTGTGGTCTCTTTGAGCGCACTGTTGTGCACACCTCTTGGTAACAACGGGATATTCATGTACCTCCTACTGGTATCTCCATGAAGTACTGGTTTCAACTTCGCCCGTAATTAACTTGTCATTTGTCGGTCAAAAGAAATGAGAGATCGTTTCGTGATTCACCTTGGTACTACTATAGGGTGGGACGCCTTGTAGTGAGAAACCCTTCGTACCAAAACGTTAAAGAGTTTCCGTTAGCAGACAAAATCAAACCGTGTAATCCAAATATGACAGAGGAGTGACCTGGCATCCAAGATACCGTAACGATTTGTAATTTCCATTAATATCACGACTTAAATTAAATTAAATATGTATCTCCAGGCAAGCGGTAGCGTAGTTGGTTGAGGCACTATACCACAAGCCGGAAGATCGCAGGATCGAAGCCCGATGAAGTGGATTTTTTTCAATTTACCTAATCGTTGCAGTCGCACTATGGCCCTGGGTTCGACTCAGCCTCTAACAGGAGCAGGTACAAGGAATATTCTTTGGGGTAGAGAGCTGCCGGCGCGTAAGGTTGACAACCTCACCGCCATCTGTGAGCCGATTGTCTAGAAAATGTGGGAGCCTCAACATCTCACAACCCTATGGGTCTCCACGGCTTGTTACAAGGATACCTTTGCTTTTACTTTCTTCTTTTTACTCCACAGTGCATTTAACTAAACCACATATGAATAAACAAACACCGTACAGCTCTGAATGGAGGCAATACATTTCTCCGAAACGTCGGTACCTACTTTTGAGAGCACAAAGGTCTGAAGACCACAGTAAGAATAATGTTCTTTAAGAAAGGAAAGCTGGCTTGAAAAGGTATTATCACTTGTTCAGCGGAACCTATGGAAGGGCTGCTGGAACCCCAGCGAACACTCAAGAAAACACGAAAGAGGGATGTACCTGTTTTAGGTCCAGGGTGATTGTGACCCACTCATACTGAGGCCCGTTCTGCAGGCTGGGGCTCTGCCACCATCGGGGGGTGCCGTCAATTGCGTGCGTGATAGGGTGCCTCTTGTCGTGGTCGGGGGAGTTGGAGTCGCACACCCCGCACTGTGGGGCTCGCATCTGAACGTGCTCCACCAGTTTGCAGTACACCTCAGGCCCCGTGGAGCCGCACGTCGCATTTGCCCTGATGGTGGCGCGCGTCGCCAGATTGAAGACGCTCGGGAACAGACCGACGCCACTCCCGTTGTTCCCGTTGTTACCGCCACTCGAGTCTGTAAAGTAACAAATGTCAGTGGTCTTGACCGCGGACAGAAACATACTGAAGGAGACATGTCTTGTATTCTGCTAGACGTTTACCGACATTTTGGAGGAACGTACTGCCTCCTTCTTCAGAATGCAAGAGCAAGCATTTAAGCAAGCACGCAGCCAGCAGAGATTTCTAGCTGCTCGCCTGTCTTACTCTTCGACCCTGAAGATGAGGCAATGACAAATAATTACATCGAAATCCGTCAAGTATTTCAAGTAACATGTGTTCCATTTGTTTGGCAAACATACGTGGTTAATGCCCCTTGTAACATTCCATAACAAGCTTCTTCTTTTCCTGTGAGCAGCTGTTAGTCCCATGTCCAACCCTCATGCTGAGGACTACTCCTTGTCGGCTATCCGCGACTGCTTATTCCGAGTATTCACAGCTATTCCCCATATCTGGAGGGCGTCTCCTCGATCCGCCACCTGAGGGCGCGCCATGCCGTACTCTTCGCCAAGTATAATTGTAATGATCAAGTCAAGGAGGATGAGATGGACGGTGTATGTAGCATGCATGTGTCAGAACATGAATTGAGAGGTTTTTCTGTGGGACAGCCAGAAGGAAAGAGATCGCCAGGAAGATACATAAGCAAGTTGGAGGATAACAAATCAAGGTAAGCTCTTAAGACTCCTTTCATTTCTCAAAATATGGAGAGTACACTGAGAAGTGAATCTTGGAGAACTATAACGGGATAGTATCAACTGGATTAATGTGGCTCACGATAGAGAACAATGGTGGGCTCTTGTGAACATGGTAACGAAATTTCGGTTCCATAAATTTTGGAAATTGTACAGTAGCCGAGCTACCATTGACTACGGGAAGGACTCGGGCCAAGGAGTCAGTCAGTCAACTTTGCACTGATATAAGGGCGCGGAGTCGTTACTGCTTGTAGTGTTTCCATTTGCTAATTACTCGTACATACCCACTGGTTTCTCCTGCTCCAGCACTAACCCATTTATTGCTTTGTTCTCCCAAACCCGGAACTACCACAAATGGGCATAAAGTTGCCCAGAGAAAGGCAACTGCTTGTCAATGCCAAAGCTAGGTATGTATCTGCTTAGTCGTATTCTGTTTTTACAAAGAAATTATGTACGTATTTACCTAATAATATGGGTGGTAGGATTACTTAGAGGACACCTTTTCAAACTGGGATTGACCGATGACCCTACTTGTGAAAGGTGTCTAGGAGAAGATGAATCAGCCACACATGTTCTATGCGATTGTGAGGCCATAGCTTACTTAAAACTTCGTCGCCTCGAAACAAGTGACTATTATGAAGCCCCCGTCACTCGAAGTGTAGGAATCAAAAGGAGAAGCACAGTAGATCCGTGATGGTCGCGATGCAAGGGCCGGAGTATTACGCCCCCCCCCNTAGCTCTGTCTATTGGACCCAACTGAGTAGGTTTTACCTGAAGACGGGGACAGATTCCAGTTCTCGAAACGTTGTTTTTTAATAGAAACTAGACTGTTTTTTAGAATAGACAAGATGATGGATAATGTCCAGCAAAGTATTAATTGTAACTGTTGTGTTATGCTTCATGTGCGTTTGTATGTGATTTTACAGTCGAATGATGGATTAAATTCGTCTCAGCGCTGACTGTTGTCTGCGAGCAGTCGCCTGACAGGGCTTGGTGGTGGAGTCAGGTGCAGAGCACAGCCAGGCCGGACCTGTCTAGCTCGGGTAGTTCCCCGTATCATGGCAAGTAAATGCGGGGCCTGCGTGAGTTACTAAATTTGTCTGGATCCTACGAGCGGCTGTTCCGGGAGACTGCTCATTAACGAGTTAAAACACGTGTTATTTATTTAGAAGCTTCGCATGTCCCTCCATACACCCCCGTCAGCGGCGTGTTCGCCTGTGGTTACACATCCAAGACTTCATCACGGCAACATCGAGTAAATAAAAATAAATTCCAAACCTCCCATTTCAAGTAACATAACTTTGTAGAATCTGGTGTTCTCACAGCAGATCTTTCTTTTGGGATATAACTCAGTGTGTCAGTTGCAAGGCTGTCGACGTTTCGGAGGCGACATGTTCCTCCGAAACGTCGGCTGATTTTCAACGGGCTGCACTGTGTTATACCCCAGAAGACAGAAATCTTCAAAATAACTCTGAATAATGAACATATTTTGTACTGTTCAAAAATTAATTTATGTATGATCAAATGAAAGATGAGACTTGCCAGTCATATAGCACGCATGGAAAAGATAAATATACACGTATACAGTTTCAGTCTGAAATTCTGAAGCAAAGAGACTTCAGGAAACTCAATCATTCAAACTCCTTAGAACATGTTACTGGGCTTCTGAAGTTCTGGTTCACAGCCAACAAGCAGATCACACTTCTATTTAGATGAATTTGAGGGCTTTTGTGTAACTCCGAGCAAGAGTTGAAAGACGTTCCCAATCTATCCATGCATGATGACCTAGTCTTATCGGTTTGGGTCTACTGCTCACCCCCCCCCCTTCCACTTAGGGCACCAGGGGCTTTCTTCCCGCAGATGAGGCAACCGCAGCGCAGTGTTTAAGTACAGGGACTAACTTTGGATGCATATCGCTAGTTTGTGCTGCACACACGAGGAACAAATTAGTTTCAACATTAAACAATTCTGCATTTTGCTCACAGAGTGTAGTTTTGTGTTTCTCACAAAGAAAACAGCTAATCCCTACACAGCAATACTCGACTGGTCCTTGTAAGGGGCACGCAGAATATTCTCTGCAAGGTAGGAACTGAATTTTCAAAGAACTGTTCGATAAATTTCAGGCTTCGAAGTATTAATATTATAACCAAATTGGTTCAAAAGGAATGTTTACTTTTCGTATGTTGTCGCGGTTATTAGAACAGAAAATCGTGTAGCAGAAGCAGCCTATCGTCTCACTCAACTACACTCGTACTGAGAGACACAACTATCGATTTCTGCGTTTGTGGTCTGCTCAAATTTCCAGTTTACTAAGATTCGGGGCAAAATTCTGGGGCAGTACTGCATCTCATTCAGTACCTCCAAACTACCCTTTCTTTTGGCACGTGTTAAGAAATGAAAGCAACTCTGAAATGTGGAAAGATGTTACACCCTTATGGTGAAATGAAAAGAGAAACTTGCTGCCCAGAAAGTAGATAGTCTAGTATACTTTGGAAGAGGCAAAAAAAAAAACGGTTTGAGGGGCGGACCACTCGTAACACTTTGTTCGATACAAAGAGGGACCGCCAAGGCACACCAGCTATAATAGCAGCATCGAATGAAGAGTGGCTCCAAGGCAGAAAGGGAAGGGTGTTGAAGGGTCGAAATCCTGACTGCTCCTAGTCCTGGCTATTGTTCCTGAAGAAGGGCTGGTTCATATAGTCAGCATGGGGTGGCGACCTTTTCTTCTTCACAGGTACTGGAGAGTCCACAGCAGAGATAAGAATTTATAGCAATGTGACAGGGGGTGTGCTGTCGAAGACATAATCTTTTACAAAGAGGCTTAAAATGATTACAGTGTTCCAGAAACTTACAACGCCAGCCTCGAAGCGTATGCTGTTGTCCAGTAGAGTTTGGGCTCGTCTTGATCAGATAGACAAGTCAGTTGGCCAAGAGGACAGAGGACACCGGTAATTCAATGTATAGAAATAAAATGCAAAGTTTACGTTCTCTTTACTTTTACCTACATTTAAATTCTTCTAACAGTGACTGTAAAGGTGTAATACTCCGTATTTATGTAGTGCAATAGGCCTAATATATATTAAGATATATTTTCCATTTCTGGAACTAATTATCTGTGTCTGCGTCAAACGCAAAAAAAAATATTGTCACGTGCTAGAAAACCGAAATTAATGGTCGTGGGGATTCGTTGCGCTGACCACGCGATACGCCCTATCCGTAAAAGTTGGCACTAAACTTCGCCGGCAAGCGGCGGTCACTCGGTCGGTATGGTTCGCTTGTGGACTGAAATCACGGAGTTTGTTTGTTTGTAAGGGGTACGCGTGACTAAGTTAACGGGTTCTAGTTCGGATCATTGGATTTATTAGCACTTCAGTTACAATCTCTCTTAATCGCAATTAATATAGTGCTATCGCTGATTTACACAATTTACAGTACACCGTAGCACAAGCACAAGGATTCTCAGTTTCCACTAGTCGTCTCATTGCAACGGATCTCAACACAGAACCGAGCACTTCAGATCGCTATGAAGTCTTCTAACCATTTCTTGTTCAATCAACCTGGAACCTCGGAACTCAAATAAAATCTCTCCTGGACTCCCATTAGCTGTCAGCGGACTCATGTTATATAGCCGCAGCACGGACAAGACAGAAAACACAGTTCTACTGTTGCGTGGCGCAAACCATACAGCAAACAAGTCACGTGATAGCTAAGTACTGTTGGAGTGTGACGTCAATACGCCTGCGCGGAAGTGTTTACCGAACCGACGCCTACAAGCAGGTTGCATAACACCGTTGTTCCATTGTTGTTGCATGTATAACTTAGAATGAGTATTTATGTGGCTCAACCGTTCTTGCATGGGGCAAACACGTCACAATATATTACACTGGAGTAAAGTATTTCTGCACTTTCATCACTATGTGAGGGCCACAGTGATAAATACATCATTCTCCGTTTTCACGGTACATGTATTCACATTTATAACATTTCATATTCCACGGTCTCTTGCAATGTTATTAAGGTTACATTCATGAGAGGTAAGCAAGATGAAACGATATTGCCACCAGATGTCAGAACAATAGGTGGAGTAAGGTTAGGCCAGTTACTATGTGCACCTACTGTATAATAGCACACGCATGCGTATAGAATAAAATTAACAGCTCTGCTCGAAACGATCTTTAAAAAACGTTGATATACTGACCAATTAAAATAAATTTGTGAACGCGCTACAAAGGAACAAAATGAGTTCCAACCTATAAATCATTTAATCCTGTTACATGCTGTGAGATGACTCTAATAAGTTCATCTATATTTAAATGACGTTGACTGC